TAAACGCCGATATCGGTCATCTGAATCCTATCGTCAGGCTGAAAGAGTACGTGATGCAGTCGCTCATCGACTATTGCGATCCCATCCCGTTTCTACAGCTTCGATGGGGTATGCTTTTGATGAAAGTCGCGGTCTGCAGCAAACAGCCTTAGGTATTTCAGCACTATGATATTTCTGGTTTCTTAATGTGCTATAGTGAACAACAGTGCTTGCAAACACATCAGTATGCATTTGTCATTACTCATAGAATTCATTACTGGTTGAACTGAACTTCATTCTTCTCAGTCCCATGCAACTACTCAAAATCATCTGCGTCGCATACCAACCAGGTCCGTGCAAACACATGTTTTTGCATTTTTTGCTTCAGCAAGATCGCTTGGAATCCCAAGTAGCTAGATTTTTTGGAATACTGGTTCTCGAAGTTTAAAATGGTAATTGTGTAATTACGTGGTAATTGATTAGGGAACATTTCCTTAAAATTTCAGCCTTCCAGTGTATTTCGGCCAAAATTTTCACGTGTTCGTACGTAAGGCTAGACGTGTGTAAGGACTGGCACCGCGGTCCTGAGGTGACAGTTGGCCGAGAAAACCACTGGCAAAATTTTAGCACCAAAGCTTGCCTGGTTATCGAGTTGAAATACTCGGGCAGACACACACACGAACAAACACGCATACCACACGCATACAATGAGTTGTCACCATGTGTTTTTGCATTTGCGTATATGTCAAAACGTATAACTACACCAAATTTTGAGTCTTGCTATGACATAACGCATTTGTTAGCAATTACATGAAACCAACCACATACTTTTGCATTAGAATTCCATTTCAAAATTTTTTCGAACAAATTTTTTCTGCAAAAATCCACTTCTAAATCTTCTTTCAGACATCAGCCGCTCAAACAGTACGCAAGAAACGAGCAACAGCAATACCGAATTTGCAGCGAATGCGATTCCAAACAGCCTAGACAGTTTTACAGTAGAAAAACGCGAAAAAGCAGTGAATCGCATGCGGTTGCTTCGACAGGATCATAATTACAAACACAGAGAAAATACTGCAAACAGGGAAGCAATGAAAAAACGCAGGGCTTCCGACTAAGGCTACAAAGTAAGGGAAAGGACTGCAGATGCCGAAGCTAAGCAACAACAACGAGAGACAGACTTGAAATACTGGGAAAGAGAAAGGATTGCAAATGCTGAAGCAATGCGACAGCGTCGAGGGGCGGACCTTGAATACCAAGAAATGGAAAGGAACGCAAATGCTGAAGATGAAGCGACATCGTCGACAGATGGAAAGGGCAAATGCTGAAGCAATGCGACACCGTCGGCAGACGGACATTCAATATCAAGAAATGGAAAGGATTGCAAATGCTGAAGCAATGCGACAATGTCGACAGACCGACTATCGCGAATCGGAAAGGCTTGTAGATGCTGAGACAAAACAACAAGGATGAGCGACAGACGTTGAATTCCGGGAAAGAGAGAGGGTTGCAAACGCTGAAGCAATGCGACAACGCAGAGAGG